AGCATACACTATAGGAGTTTAAGTTTTTTGTGACGTTTTTTTCTACTTTTAACGGCATTTATAAACGTCCCTAAAAGATTTACTACGCTTGTAAAAAAATGTCAGTTAGAGTATTGGCTATATACGCGTCAGGAAAAATAACGGCATTTTCTATAAAATGCCGCTATATTAATGATGTTTGTATATGAAAAATACCATTATTTTAGCATCATTTGTATCTTTAAAATGCCGTTAATTTAGTGACGTTTGTATTAGGAAAACGCCACTAATATGGTGGTGTTTATATGATAAGATCCCTCTAAATTAGCGGCGTTTGTATCAAAGCAACATTTTTATGATTGGAACGTCGTTAATTTAGTGACGTTTTTTGATAAGAACGCTACAACTTTTAGTGGCTTTTTATGATACAAGTGCCACTAAATTTAGAATTTAGCGAGATTCTTGAACGTAAATGTTGCAAAATTAAGAAATTCAATTTTTTTAATAAAAAATTTCTGTTAAGGTTTATTATTTTCATTAACAAGAAATGTTAAAAGAAATAAAAATGAACTTAAATTCCGAAACTGAAATTAATAAATACTTAATTCATGTTCAAATACACATCTAATTAACACAAACTTTAATAATTAGTATAATAACATTCAAATTATTTTAATACATTAACAAAAAAATTAAAAATGTATAAAATTGATGATTGCATAGATTTGAAAAACTACCTATTGATGAAGGAAATTTTCTACCTTAGTCACTAGTGTACTTAAGAATCTAACTGAATAATATTATACAATTTTTAACACTTAATAGTAAGCTTTTTTTAATATTAAAAAATAAATATTTACTAAATATAATACATGAGTTAGTAAACCATTAAGATTAGTTCCTGAAAATTGTTATTGCACAAAATTCATAAGATGATTGAATCGATCATGCAATTGCTGAAATTTTGCATGCTCTTGCTCTATTCTAGCACATTCTCTCTTAATTTTGGCACGCTCCTATTCTCTTTCTGCTGCCATTTACTGGAAACATTGTTGCATAGTTTGTAACTCCGATCTCAATATCAAAATGTCTCGCGAAGACTAATCTGCTGAGAATGTAAATTGCAAAGAGCTACGTCTATAATACGTAGATGGTGTTGGACACAATCCAAGGCCTCGAACTCGTCCATGCCTTTCTTTTCTAGCAACTTCTATGAATATCCAAATTTTCAATTCTTGCATGTTGATAGAACCATCAAATGCTATTTCAATCTCAACAGTCATTTTCTCTTTCATTTTTTCTTGTAAATTAGTCATATACAGCTATCAAGTTTAATAATTAGTTGATAATATGTTAAAAAGAATAAATATTTACTTTCTATTAAAATAGATGTTACAAATTACTATAATTTATTGTGTTTCGACATTCAAGTAAGATCCGTCCTTTTTTATGTGTGTTAAGAAAAATAGTTCAACACGTCCAATTTTACCACCCATCCTAATCTCCTATACCAAAACATATGTTATTGTTAAATACATATCAATCGTAACTTATTCATATATATCAAGCCTGTCAATCAAGTTCAAAAATTTTGAATAATTTTAATATCATGTATTTAATCTATCTAAATTGTTTAAAAATAAATGTAATAGTAAAATTATATTTTGGCCTTTTAATAATACAATAGTCTTAAACAGACGCAAATAATAAAAGCATTGTGGCCTTTCACACATATCGATCATGGAAACCAATTTCAATTATTTGGACAAGTTTAATATCATGGATTGAAGCCATCCAAACTGTTCAAAGCCATCCAAAAGTTTAATTTGTATTTTTGGCTTTTAAAGGCAAAAATAG